AGTTCTAGAAATGTTACTGCTAAAAGAAGGGAAGATCTGATTTCAGTTCCATCCTGTTTACCTTATTGCCACAGACATACGCACACAGAACTCCAGATCTATTAAATGTTAGCATTTAGCTGTGTAACCTCCACCTACCTGAATCTCATGGAATTTGATTAGAACAAAACTTGCAAAGATTTAAATTGCAAAATGTTTTTTAGTTAGAACCATAATGCAAAACAATAATACAGCAATAACAATAATACCTTCAGGTAGGAACAATATTTAATTATATGAAAGGCCTGTGCCCAAATACGTATTATATGCTGTGAAGCAGATTAATAAGTGGTCTTGCGTACAACTTTATAATCAGCCTGTCCAAATGTTGCTTAAGGTTTATAAAGGTGCTGGAAGCTTTAGTTATTTTTCTGCAGACTAATTCATGCACATCTGCAATTACAGTGCAAGAATAATAAATATCAGAAGTACAGGAATAAATTTCAATTCCCTTTGCAATTAAACCATATAACACATATCAACTTGGTTTATCTTATTTGAAATAATAATAATAGTAATAATAATTTATTATTAAATTTGTATGCTGCCCAACTCTCAACAATTCTGGGCAGCTCATAATTATTATTCAGCTATCTCACAAAATTAATAAACTCTTTCCTTTGTAATTGTCTGTTGAATGATGACTCTGCCCTTTCAAGTTTAAACCAATGGGATCTTGGGACTGTATCGGTAATTACCCAGAGAGCTTTGCTGGCAGTGATATACTAAAGCTATTAGTGATATCAGTCTCTCAGGGTAGATCCACATCAGCTTGTCCCCATTACTAATATAGGACACCTACCACTTGAGTGCAGAAACAGATGACGTTGTCTTCCATCTACTCCCATTGCAAATGCACCCCCTGCCTGTGTTTTGAAGCTTTGCTTTGCTTCAAAACTGCTGTTTTCTGTCCTATGTTATAAGCCCTTCTAAGCAGATGGTTGGCAGCACTTCCTTCTCATCTAATGAAGGGCCCACTCTGATTGGCTACAGTGCCTGGCATGCCCCTTCCACTCCAGTGGTTAATCACTGCCCAGTGCTGTCATTTTGTCCTGGACTGCCAGGCTCCATTGATTGGCAGCTGCCATTTTTTCTATTATCTTGTGGTTGATCCAACAGTGGCCCATTAAGTCAATGAACTTTCTTCATTCTGTTTTCCTACCCTCTCTAGAAGCTCATCACTCCATTCAGCCCTTACATCTCCCAGACTCTTTTGGTTTCTGTCCAGACTGGGTGAAACATGCTCCCCTTGCCTACCCCCTGCTCACAGTACCACAAAGCTAATTTCTTTTCTTGTTTTTCTCCTAAATCTTGCAACATGGGTATATTAGGGTGAAATGATTGAATTCAACTTTTGCTTCTATAAAGCTGAACCAGAATTTCTCCCTTACAAAGTTCCCATGGACCTACCATGGAACATAGGAACCAGGGAATGATCCCTTTCCTTTCATTTTTACAGCATTAAAGCAGCAATGGCAGAAAAAAGAAAAAGAAAAAAAGATAGTTTTTTTCAAGAGAAGAACAACCTGCAAAGGGGAAATGAAGGCAGCCATATGTGCAAACATCTGGGAAGTAAAGAAAAAGACAGATGGGGAGGGAACAATCCCTAAAAGGAAAAGCCAGGACCTGGGAAACCTGCCCACACAGAGGCCAGCCAGTGAGGCCTGCCTTCCCTGCATGGATGGGAAGGGCAGGAAGGAGAGGAATGACCAGTCAGAACCTGCAGTAGGTTGGTCATTTGGACTGAATGCCACCCTGGTTTCATTGCCAAGCCACTGCAGTCCAGAATGGACAGCCTTAGGAACAGCAGATTAAGCTGCCATACAGAAACAGTTTAACTTGCCATCTGGAATTGCCCTCAGTTCCAAGCACGAATGACTACTAATATACAGTGCATAGGAAAAAACTGGTTCTGAAAACAAATTTTCAGGAGAGGTGGGCATGTATTTTTCCTATCAAAATCATCCTCACTCGATTAATCAAATATTTCTTTGTGATGTGGCCAACTTGCTTTAACTTGATGCCATCCAGATTGCTTACCCTGCAATGGATATACAGACTGGGGATGATTGGAGTCTGGAAGCATCAGATGGGGAAACAGTACCATAATACATTGCCACACTTCAATATGATACATTATTGCACTTAATGTACTTTCGTTCTCCTTCCGGTTAAATGATTTTGAATGTCAGCAACATTACACAATTATTTTACTTACATCATAAAGCTGATTATTGTATGTCAAAATTCTATATTTCCAAATGAAAATTCTAGCTGTGATGTTTATTTATAAAACAGTTATAGCCCTTATCCGTGCTAGATATTACCTGCATGTACAGGCTCTAGAACTGATGGGATAGATTTATTGCTATTAAGCTGCACAGAATGTCCTTGAAATTTGATGAGCAGGCATTTATGATTTCTGGATCATATCTGATCCTTTCAGTAAAGAAATTAGAAGGAATAGCAATTACTGAACAGTGACAGACTTCTTTTGCATTCATTTTTTGACTAACTCTTTTTTTATCTCTTCAGGATGATTGTGATATATTAGAAATGGCAATAATTTTAAGACTTGAATCCCTGAGCAGACTCTTTTTTAAAAAAAGTTTTATATTCTGTCTTTCCCCCAGGAGCTCCTCAAGGTGTGTGCATAGTACTCCTTCTTCCAGGGAGTCCCCAGAAATAATTTCAGTAGGCTGCCACCAATCAGACTGAATCTTCTGTCTCAGCTAAGTCTGTTCAGGTGGGAAGTTTTTAGCTTTCTGCCAGGACTTCTCCTTTTAGCTAAACTCCAGAAATTATAGAAGAAAAGGTACTTGGATCTTCCTAACCAAAGCCCAGAAATACAACACTTAACAAAATTTTGGGAAGATCCTGTGAACACTAATTATAGATACGCAGTTCTGCAGTCTTACACATGAGAAAGGTTTTAATAAGACTTTCCATTTAAAATCATATAGCCAAATCTGGATATAAAACAGGATTTGTTTGGGAAAGACAAAACAGAAAGCAAAGCATCAATCTCACTTGCAGAATTCCAAATAAATTGAATATTGAAAGTTTAACTAAGCTAGTTATATTTTACCTGTATGAGCAGAATCTGCTTGGATATTATTTATCCTTGCCCTTCTTATGGTTTCCTTCTGATTTTTCTATACTTCATTAATAGCATTTATTAGCAGAAAGGTTAATGATACAACACAAGCATTCCAGCAAGTACTCTGCTTTCAAATGAGACACGTATACATAAGCAATTAGGACAGCAACACTCTTGTTAGGTTCCTCTTAGTTTTCCTATGAAGAGAGCTAAAAACTGCTCTCTTTTATGACAGCTGGTCACTTACATCTGTTCCCTGTTTTGATAGCAGTCATTCCAGTCAGCAGGAGAAGAAACTCTTACATGCTGCTTTATACATTGCATTTAAACATCTCTCAATTTTTGAGAATTTAATCAACTCCCTCCAACCATGATTTTCTTCATCTTTATGCCCCTTTCAACCCATTGACTTTGCCTGCATATATTTGTTTTGCAATTTGGTCCTCATTCATTCTCTAAGTCCAAACCACCTCAACATACTTCTTTAGAAATGATTACCCATTTTTGTATTCAATCCACATTCATCACCCATTTATTCTTGACAAACTCTTCTGGTTTTACTGTACATTCTTTTTAAAATACTCCATTCCCACTGAATTCAGCTTAGTTTGATGTTTCAGCTGACTATCTAACTTTCACTTCCAAATAAAAGAAAAATAGAAGAGTTCTGTCCAAACAAAATGTACAGAAACATGCTGTTATACACAGCCATTTTTCCTCTTTCAACGTTCATTCATCACAGCAGACCAGATACTATCTACTACTTTTCATTTGCATGTCAACATTTCACTCTCAATTTCCCATCTTTAAGAAGTATTTCATCAAACAAATATACTTTCTCAACTTTTCTCCATGTGTAATTTGCAATTGTTCACTAAGTTTTTTCCTGTCAAACCCAACTATCTTGCTCTTTGATATAGTAATATTCAGATCCATTCTCCTTGTCATTATATCATACAGTCTATCTAACATTCATTGCAAATTATTTGCATTCACAATCAACAACACAGCATCACCAGTTACAAAAGACGACATAAATTCCCATCCACAGCTAATACACATATGCAGTCACCACAAGCATTCCTTGTAAATTTATCCATAAATACCTTAAACAATCAAGGGGACATTACACATCCTTGTCATTCTCCTTGCTCACTATTGTGGCATTCACTAAGCATTCCATTTTGAGAAAGCTGATTCCTATAATGATAAGGACACTAGCAGCTATTTCCAGAACTATCTCTAGGTGCAGCCTCCCCTCCTTCTCAAAAGAAACAAACTTCTTTTTCCTTATATTGAAAAAGCACAAGAAAGAAAATAAGAAGCTAGCTGCTCTGAATTGCCTATATAGAGGTTTAATAGTGAAACACTCATTGGAATTCTTGTATTTTTACTTCATCATTTTTCCTACTAGACTTTACTGATCTGAGCTCAGAAAGGTATGTGATTTGGATTAACCTTTTCCAGTTTTGGTCATTAGAGATGCCAGAAACATTTATTCTCAGGCATACTTTACTTCCGTTATATATAGCTCTATCACTTTCAGCAACCACACTTCTGCCCTATATTCTTGGAAAACATTCCATAAATCAAACCAAATCATTTTAATATATACTTTTTATAAGTCAACAAATGTGCTTAAACATTCTTCCTTATATTGATATATTTCTCAGTGGCCTGCTGAAGTGCAAATATCTGGTCTTCATTCCCTCTGCCCAGCATAAAGCTGCATATTATCTCTCAAATTTTGTTCATTATCACCTTTTATACCCTTTCAATCAGAATTCTGCCTAACACCTTCCCAGGCACACATATGAATCTTCCTATAGTTTAAGCATTCCCTCTTGCTATCTTCCCTGAATATAGGGGAACGATAATGCCATTCTTCCATCAACAGGCACAAATGCAGTCTTTACACACATTAAACAAAGTCACACAGCTATTCTATAGGCAAACCACATCCATATTTAACATTTCTCCAGTTATACCACCTACACATTTAACATATTTCAATATTACCACAGCATTTCTTGATGTGAAACACTGAAAAATTAAAACATTTATAGCATTTGTTTCAATTCCATTCCTCAACATATCACTAGCATTCCCATGCAGATCTTTAAAATACTCCTTGTAGCATTTCCTCACTTCAGTTTCCTCCCAAATAATTTGATCACTTTTATTTTTAATTCCATTCACTCTAGCTCTCTATACCCACTTCCAAAACATTTTATATAATTTTCATCAAAATTACTCTGCATGTTCTCTGCCTCATTTAATTTTAATTGTTCCATGGTGCCCTTGAGTACAGTCCTTGCAAATACAATAAAACCCCCTTTTTACATGCTTATTGGTAGAAAATGTCTCCATTATTTACAAATGTCCATTAAATATGCAATTACATCATTGTGGCAGTTGTGTCATTTGCATAATGTCTTTATGTGTATAATACTAAATTACCACAGAAATTTGGTCCATTTGCCTCCAAAATCATTATATCAAGGTATATTAAATCGAGATTTCACTCTGTACACATTATGTAATAGCTTTTGCAGCAATCATATTATTTGCATTTTTTCTCATCCACAGCTTCTTTCACTTCATCATCATATCAACTATCCTTATGCATACTTCTCATCAGCATAATTCCAGACACTTCAGTGACCTGACATAGCACTTTTTTTACCCTGTTCTTGCTCCAAGCAGCTTTCCTATCCTCTTTTCTTGTGTCCATTATCCTTTTTTTCTGTTGGGATATTGATCTGTCATTCAGTACTTTTCCAGAATTAGAATCAGTCTTTTTCTACCTGCAGTCATTTTATTTTCACTGTTGTTCCTTTCACTTCTTTCCTTTTTTCCATGTCCATTTTATCCCAAATTCTACTACCAAAAATGGTCAGTTCCACTTTCACAAACTTTTATCAACTTTGTATCCTTCACAAATTCTCTCAATCTGCCATCATAAACAATGACATCAATTATGGTTTTCATTATGTCTTCATTCCTTTGCCATGTATATAAATGTTTATATGTTTATGTTTAACAGTGTATTTGAAATGAACAAACCCTTTCCTAAGCAGACTCTCATTGGATACCATTTTATTCATTCTTGGGAATCCAAAAGATCCAATCATATTTTCTGTACTCTATCATGTTGTTTGCATCTATCTGTCCATCCATAACACTTAAAAAATATTCCCTCCATCTCATTCATTCAGAATGTTCCGTAATTTTTCCCAGAGTACATCCCTGCTTCCTCCATTATTGGAAGAACATGCAACAGCCAACAACAGTCAACAACCTAGATTATATCAGTTCCTACCTTCTGACATACAGTATATTTTAGCCTTCATGTCTTTGCATGGATTCATCAACTCCATAAGATCAGACCACCTTCATTCAGCTCTATTACAGCCTTCTCCTTTCTCTTTGTTTCAGAGACGCGTAACTTACCTACTTATTTTCCTTCCATGTTGCTTGTTAATTCATATTCTTTGCTATTTACTCTTACATTCCAAGTTGTAATCTTCACTATTCCATGGTCATTATTAGGTGGGCCCATACAAACTCACTTCTGCTGCCTGTCATGGTTTTGGTGAATTAGAACTTTCACACAATACATTTTATTTATTAATTAGGTTTATTACCTGATTTTCATTCAGGAATTCATAGTGGCATATGTAGCACTCCCTCTTATTTTGCCCCAGAACAACTCCTCTGTGAGATACAGTAGGTTGTACTTAGAAGGGTTGACTGGCCTAAAGTAACTCAATGTGCTTCTAAAGCTGAGGGTAGACTAGAACCCTGCTTATAGTTTGATACCTTAACTACTATTCTGCACTGCTGTTAGATACAGAAGATGTCTGTTAGATTATTAATCTTAGTCATATCCATTCTACATGCAACATACCCTTCTAATGTTTGCTAATCAGAATCCAGTTGTACACCAAGTATGCTCATATTATTCTATGCAAGATAGGATTTCCAATCTAGAGGCTATCTTGCAAACATTTTATTTATCTTATCCTATCACTTAGGAAGTACGTGCAGCATACTTACACTATGGATGCATTGTTATTAGTAGGAATAGTTGTTTCTTGGAAATATTGTACAAGTTGCTCATAACAATAGTGTACACTTTCCTCTTATAGTCCCAAATACAAGGACTTTGACTACTGGAAAAGTTTTAGTTGGCACCTCTGTGCAGATACTGCAGAGTAGTGGAGAACAATGAGTCTCTCTCGCTCTCTCTCCCCCCGCTCCCCCCCAATCATTACTATGGCTAGTCTTCAAATGGACAAGTGGCTTTCTGATAGTACATGAGATTTTTCCTATTAGCTTGGTAGGTGATTCAGTAAAGTCACGTTTGACTTCTAGAGTGGGAAAATTGGCACTTATGGTTGACATGGTCATATCCAAGTAGCCTCTCCTGCTAGATAAGGTCATATGAGCCTTTGATTTACAAGGGAGTATGGCAATGAAGCAAATTGAACAATAATAAGAGGAACATTGGTTAAAAAAAGGGTGCCAGTCCAATTGAACATCACCTTCTCAGGATAAGCAAGATTATTCAGTTCCTCTTCCCTGCAGATACTTCCAGGTACTGATGTGTCCATGATAACAGACTTGTAGAAAGTTTCTTCTCAAACCATCACCATTCCATCCAGTACAGATTAGATGTACTATATGTGCTCTGCTAAATGAGTCATGAACTTGAGCCATTCCTCAAGGTGATTTACACATATAAGTCGAAGTCCTGCAGAACAAGCTGGGAGGACTCCTGCCTTTCTTATAAGACTATTCTACCTAGCTTAGGAAGGGAGCCCACTGGGTAGTAGGCTGAAACTATATAAGATTCCTTACCCAGAACACTTTGCCTCCTCTGTATATTAGTAGTTACTTGGTCCCATTGACTGCTGCTAATTCACGTTCTGTCTGTTTCTTTATATATTACTGTTACATATTTTCTACATACTCATCTTTACTTTAGCAAAAGTGTAGACTGCCATCTAGAGTCATGTACTGGTAAGGCTGTCCATGTTTTCTGTTCCAAACTCTTGATTTGCATGACATAGCTTAAATCTTAGAATGAAAAACAGATTTAGGAGTATTTAATTGTTGACAAATGTTAAAGACACAGCAAGCTTCCCAATGCAATGGTTTCTAGATTACAGCACTGTATTATTTCCAGCTACTATGTTACATTAGTAAGATTATCAGTTTTTTATATCTACATGTGAAGAGTTATCAGCATGGGAAAGCTAAACTCAAAGATTTATTTGATTCAAATATTGAATCAAAACAAAATGAACAGTTGATTTCATGTTCAAATTATTTTCCGTAATAAATATATTATATTACCTATATGATCCACTGCCAAATAGCAAATTCACTTGTAAGATCCCTCCCCCAACCATTGTATTAAGGAGAAACATAGACATTTTATCTTTCAGTATCTTTAGGTTGGAGGTTGGATTTGAGACCAATACCTAATGCAATGTGAAGCTTTGAGATATTAGGATTTGCTAAACTTATTTCAGAAAGTTTAGAACCTAGTAGTTTTGCTAATACATTAACATTGCTGGAGTATATATTTTTAGACAAGTTTGAGAACAGTAAATGCCTTTTTATTACTGATCAATCAGTCAATCAATCTATAAGCTACTCTTTGAAACATAGTGGCTGAAAAATGCAGTATAAATCAATACATATGATTCTAGTATATTGTAATCAATACATATTTTTTTAGTGGTATTATCGAAATCCCAGTAGGGGTAAGAAAAACCAAATTTCTTACTAGGTGGATATATTTCCTCTCTTTCTTCTCCTTTTCCCTTTGTCTTTTGAGCTTTGGAGGAAGCTTTTTCTTCTCTCTCCAAAATACAATCCCTTCCCTGTTTCTTTTCCACAGTCCATCGCCAAACATCCCACCACATCCATCACCCCCTGTCCACCCACCTCCCTCCACCCCCCAAGACCCAGAAGAGGCGTCTGCACTCTAATAGGAAAAAGAAAAAAAAGAGAAAGGCAAGGAAGATGTCTATGCCTCCCTCCAAAGTCACTCCAACCATCCAGGAAGAGGAAGAAGAGGAGGAGGAAGAAGAAGAAGCAGAATCTGAAGGGGAAGAGGTTCTAGAGAAGGAAATCTCAGCAGATTCTGACACTGAATCTTCTCCCAAGGAGAGGTCTTTTGGCACATTAACAGCAGGACTGACTGAAAGAAGTGTTGAGGTGAGAGACTTCTAATCCACACTGCAAGAGGAGTTATGGGCTTGAGATTCATGCACAAGAATTAGATATGGTGGAATGAAGGTTAAAAGAATTCCTGAATCCATATATCAAGAGGTATCAGGCATTGTGTGTATGGTATGTGTATGCCCCATTTGTCAAAGGTAGGAGTCTCTATAGCTCAATGTAAGTATGAAACTGTTGGCTGATAAAAAGCAGACAGGAAAAAAAAATGGGATCATTGCCATTTTTTCCCCTGGTATTAAGGGTTCGTTGTCCCTTGTTTTTTTCAACTTTAACCAAAGTAATAGGAAGATTACTTTCCTGGATATTGTGTCATTTTGACCCTTTGCATTGCTTCTTTCAGTTTACCATTGGGACTGAGGAGGCTGAGGAAGAGGAGGAGGAAGCTCATGGCACCCAATGCACTTTGTCATTTCATGTGGCAGAGGAATACAGTAATCTCTCCCCAGTCCCATGTTTCTCCAGCCTGCTGCCAGAGAAAGGGCCTACCTCTTCCAGTAGGTAAGATGAGATTAATTATGTTTTGGAATTCTCCTAGGCTGTAGGCATGCAGGACAAAGTAGTAGGATGCCTTCCCTGTTCAGGTTCAAGAGTTCACTCTGGTAGTATAGATGGGATAAGCTTAATTTGAGACAGAGCTCATCCAGGTTTAAATTTAATATGTATCTTCTATTCTAGAATGTTTAAAGAAGAGTGCATATTCTTTCATTACTGAGGAAATAATGTAATGTAGCCAGCATAGAACAGTATGGATGTCTTTTCCTCCTCCAACCAGGATGATAGGAAGAAGGCCAAAAGAAGGAAAATGCCTTATTTCTTCCGTTAATTTGAAAAATACGAAGGCATCTTAAGTCTAATATTGGTAGTTAATCTGCAGAGGTCTTGACCTTCCAAGGAATATTACCAGATTCCAACTTCCCAAGACACAAACTAATACTAATATATTGGTTTAAAATAGTATTTAGAGTGTATTAAGACACACAGCTACAAAAGCATGTGTAGGTATTTGGCTTCAAGAAAAGGATTAGAATTCAAAAAAGCAGATGTAAACAAAGGAAAATGGGTAGGGCCATCCAGAAGAAATGAAGCCTCAGAGAAAAGCTAGTTTTGGAAGAAAACTGGGCAACTTGCCTTGAGCCCATGCAAAATAAAATCAGTCCTAATATACCTCTGATTACTTCTACCTCTAGAAGCCTGGGTTATGTTATATTGTTTCCTGGATCCTGGAAGATGCAACTGCACAAGCTGAAATTCCATCTTTTCCTTCCCAACAGTTAGTTGCTTCTCCTGGGAGGAAAACAAACAAACAAACAAACAAGCCTCCAGCAAACTCTTCCATGGCTATTTAACCTCAAGGAAACTTGGTTTTTTTGTCAGGAATTTAGCCATCTGGCCCTCTAGGCTTTCTTATTATACGTGGGAGGGATTCGTTTACAGGTAAATTGTCTGTAGAGAGCCATTTTGGCATAGTGGTTAAGGCATCAAGCTAGAAACCGGGAGACCATGAATTCTAGTCCCACCTTAGGCATGAAGCCAGCTGGGCAACCTTGGGCCAGTCACTCTGCCTCAGTTTAGGAAGCAGGCAGTGGCAAACCACTTCTGAAACCTTGCCAAGAAAACTGCTGGGACTTGTCCAGGCAGTCTCCAGGAGTCTATACTGACTCTAAGGCAAAACAAAAACCAATTGTATATGCATTCTGATCTAGAAGAAATCTCTAGAAGCTTGCATTGCTAGAGGTTTACATATATACTCCGAGAGTCTTTGGTTCAAATATTTACATGCAAACTTAAACAGTGAGGAATACAGGTAGTCTTCAGATTACAATGGCAATTGGGACTGGAATTTCTGACACTAAGTGATACGCATAAAGCATGAAGTAAAGTCCCAGTTGCCATTGTAACCCCAGGACCGTGCGGGCCGTTAAGCAGGAAGTGGCAGGAGTCCCTGGCAAGAAGGCCAGTGGGTCTCATCTTGTCTCGTGTCAGAAATGCAGGAACTAGAAAAGGGAAAATTATTAATCTAAATTTTAAAAAATTAAAAACTTTAATAAAAGTATAGATTTATATAATTCTTGCCTGTGGGTGAGAGCTATGGACAGATGGGGAGTGCCGCAGGCTGGTGCTACAGAATGTGAGCAGGTGTGCGGGGGGGGAGTGCTGCAGGTAGGCACTACGGAGCTCAGATGGGCAAAAAAGTGACAAGGATGGGAGCGACTTGCAACTTCTTGCTGGTTTCCTCATTGACTTTGCTTGTGGTAAGCCGGCAGGGAACATTAGAAATCACGATCATGTGACCGTGGTTCACTGTGACATCATAATCATGAACCAGGCACCAAGCACCTGGGTCACGATCACATAACTATGGAGACACTGCGACAGCAGGAGCTCCTAGAACTGCTCATAAGTCCCCCTCATTCAGCACCGTTGTAACCTTGAACGGTCACTGAATGAGTAGTTGTAACCCGAGGACTACCTGTATGATTTCTAAAACAGAACCTTAAGGATGTCATAGCTGCCAAACTAACAAGAACTATCAACTGAAGAGAGAAAGAGCTTTTCAAGATTTATCTTTTCAGTTAGGGAATATTGTACTTCAGATTAAGAAAGATTTAGAAACCTGCAACCTGGTCCTTTAGTCGAAGAATTCTCTAGGACAAAGATAGGCAATCCGCAACCTAAGACTTTTATAGTCTTCAACATGATTTCAAAAACCCTCTCCAAACACTTAGTTCACACCTCTGGACTGAACTAATCTATTATTTTCCTGGCAGGCTGCTACTTCAGAGAGAGAAAAAAAGAGGGTGCCAGAAAGTGAAAGGGGGAGGGAAAGAGAAAAAAAGTTGTCAGAAAGAGAGAGTGAATTGGACCACGCAGTTTGGTTTCTGGCACCACTTACCACTTGCTTTACTGCAAGTGGAATTGATGTGTTGCCCTCCAAATGTTACACTTGACAGAATGCAACCCTTGACAGAATAAAAATTGGTTACATCTGATTTAGGTTAAAAGAGAAGTCAGAGCAACTCTCTAGTCTTGTTCCAATTTCCTAATTCTGGAAGTACACTTTGCCTACGAGGAATAAGTCCTCACTTTCAATTATTCAGTTATTATTTCTGTGCCATCATTGTGCTCTTTCTTGCCTCCACAGCTTTCCTGAATACAGAGATAATGTATCTCGGGGATGGGATAAACGCAGACCATGGAGTCAGGTGCCAAGTGGGCAGCGGTCAAACTATGACCTGAAGGAGAGAGTGTGCATTGGCAGCATGACTGCTGTAGAGAATGCCACATACCAACGAATCCCCACTGATGAAGCTGAAGCTCAGATGCTGGCTTCTGCTGACCTTGATGATATGAAAAGTGAGATTCAGCTTTGGTCCTTGATTCTGTCCCTAGTGGTGGTGGTAGTGGTGGTGATGGCTGCAGTGCTTGTCTGCTGGAATTTGCCTTTAGTGCAGCACTGAGTGAATATGGGAGGGCCATAAAAACATCAGAGTAACTACCCTGCTACATTAAAAACGAGCAACTGGATTGTGTAATAGTTTTAATGAGAGGGACAGAAGGATGTATGTAGACTTTTAATGCTCAGGATACCCACTTGATATACTTTGGTATATTTGTAGTCTGAAAAACATTGTGGTTTTGGATATCACAACATAGCCATTATATTAATGGCCATGCAACATAATGTAATACTGGTTTGTTTTTGTTTTGTATTAGGTAGATCATGGCCCAATTATATTCATCTTATTCCCAAATATCCTTCTGGGTTCACTGATATTTAACTTCTAAGTAAATGTATAAAGGAATGTAAATAGAAAATAGCTTATTTAGTTTCTCTGTCCGCACAAGTTGCAATTTTGTAAAATTCTATTTGTGTTCCCTCTGATCATCCTTTTTTTTTATTAAGATAAAAAATCTAAGTAATTCCTTAGATTCCAGTTGTTTACTTTGCTCTCTGAAGTTAGTTTAAACAACTCTGACTTGCATCTATTTCAGTAAAAACATACATCCAAAACATAGTAAGCAATATACTTCTTTTGAAATATTGTCAGCTATGCTTTCAATTCCCAGAAATAATGTCATTTTAGGACTATACTAGGTATAATGCACAGGAGTCTAGAATAAGAGGGAGATACATGATTTTAAGTTATAGGATATTTTGACTTGTGAGGCTTTAATCAATTATGCCTAAAATCTGAAACATGAATGTAAATTCTGCTTTTTAGGACTACGCAGGGGATTTTTCTTGTTATGGTAGGAATCTCACATGTGATGTGTTTGATGCAGAAGGGAGGGAGGGAGGGAGGGAGGGATAAAAGTCAGGAAAAGAAGACAGCAAGACTGGTGAAATATTTTGACAAATTGCTTAGGCACTGAGGATCCTACAAAATGTTATAAATCCTACAAGATGTTATAAATCACTGTACTCAAAGTCTATTATAATGAGGACCCTCTAGGCCTTACTTTGTTGGAGAGAAAATTCTCAAATACTTACCTTGCTTTCCAAATTTGACCATGCAATCTGCAATCCAATATGGTCTTCTGTTACCTGAGAGCTCAGTTTTATTCTCTTTATATCCTGTACTACCACTCATCCATAATTTACTGGATGGTATTTAATTCTCAGATGCTAGGTCTAACCCAGTATCTTCCTTGCTGAACCTTTAGGATTTTGCTTTCTCCTTCTTACCTTAAAATTATCTTCGCCTTTTGTGTTCTGAGAGAACTATGTGTTTCAATTTCTGGAGGGAGTGGCTACATTTGAGTTGGAATCTGCATCTAATGCAGGGTCTATCATGGTCTCAAATCGTACAAAGTTTCAGTGTGTCTGGGACTGACATTATATCTATCTACTGCTATGTTCTGCACTTTCCCCCCCTCCCCGAAAGCTGAACATGCTAGTTCTCTCATTCTCTCAATGCAAAAACACAGAAGGGACGTCATGGAAATGCAGTTTTGAGCCTCAGGACACAAAGATGTCAATAGGCTACTTTCCAAGCTTCAGTAGATGAAGATATCAAAAGCATGTGAAGGGGCACAGTAGGCTGTGTCACAAAGGAAAACAGCACAGCAGCACATCATGTATTGGATCTCCTACAGAACCCCCTTGCTGGCTTTGGCAGTGTGCACGAATATATTCCCACTTGGATTCTAAACAAGCAGATGCAATCTCTGTGCTAGTTTTTTCACTAGATGGTCAGTGGGAATATTTTTTATCAAATCCTATCCAAAATTACTGGGCACTGGATGTTGTGCTGTCTGAAAAATTTCAGAGAAGAGGAACTCATCTCCTACCTAAATCCTATTTTTTGCCACATACCCAAGACTTTTCATCTTCTAAAGAACATAGCAATGGCCATTCCAAACAGAAAGGAGACAGTAAAGGACACTGGAGTAGGAGACAGACCAGAAATAGAGATAGCTGTCTGTGCCCATAATTCATTTGATTACGACGACTTTGAGGAGTTTGCTCTCAACTTTGAAGACTATGATTTATGGGAGGCCATTCAGAACCACTTGAGTTATCCCAGTTTGGAGCCGACTCGTAAGTACTGCAGTTGTGCTAGGATTCATATGTACAGCTATATATATGTGCATCTTCTCACACATTTACTCTCAACTTCACTTAGACTGTTTTTTCCCCATTGGACAATCAGATTTAAAATATGACAAACTTCATTTATTTTGAATATATCTTATCACTATAGGTTGTACCTTTCAAAATTCTTTTTTCTATTACTTTATTAAGGGTACAGCAATTTTGTCCACCTGTGCTTTTAATGATTCTTTGCCCATACAAAGTTATTTTTATTTGCTTAACTTTACCCTATCCCAAAGGTTTATTTTCAGATTTCTCTATTGTCCTGGAGGCTACTTGTTCAAATATTTTGGAGATGTGAAGCTGAAGGCATTTAACTACAACCTATATTTCCTCACTCATACATCAGACACACACATCCGTGAACGAACTAGCAAGATCTTTAGTTCTCACTTTGGTGCCTAACTGCAATTTATCTTTCCTTCAACATCCACCATCCGCTCATCCACCCACTCCACACACACACATTGTACATTATGAGCTATGACATGTTTCTCTTACTGAAGATAGATGAACTCATTCATAAACATATATTCATAGGTTGAAAGCCCATTAGAAGTTGCTATTATCAGTGTTGAGCAGGCTCACTGGTTAAATGTGCTGAGAGTGGGGATAGAGAGTGCTCAGATTTGTCCAAAACTCTGTCCTTTAGGGCCTAAAACCTTTCATTTTGATCTTCATGAATATCTATGACAGAAAGCAAATGAGCAATATTATACACAGTGTCCAGAGTCCTAGTTAATCTTGAGCACGACTTAATCCAGTGTCTCAAAAGCTGCTATTAGCCCGACTGGATGGAAAAATATAGGCAGCGTACAACAATCTGCATCTTTCCTGCTAAACTTTTTCGCCCTAAAACAAATCGCTCTGGTGTGGATACGTGCAATTAGACTAAAAAAAATAGCTCTGTGGAGCAAGCTGGTTATCTCCCATTCCTGAAGAATAATTGCTACAATCTGAAATGGATTCCACAACAGTTTTGACAATTAAAACATTAGATTTGTTTTAGATTACATCTCTCTTTTTTTTTTTGTAGAATGAGTACTACCCATCATCTTTCTCAAGGGGATATCAGGCACTTGAAGAGGCCACAAAAATAGGTGAATAGCACCCTATAAATTGGGTACAGCTAATACTACTCTAAATGTAGATAATAACACTTGCACCCACGCCCACTGTTCATCACCCACAAAAGCCACAAAATATATGCAGCACCCACACATTCACCCATTCATTCCCTTGTTTCTTCATTCTATCAGTCAGCTATGTAAATCTCCAACTAAAATGATGACTGTCAGGTATAATTGTACACTGTAACAGTTCTAATTAGTTTCAGTGCTTTATTACTGATGAATAGTTATTGGTTTTTGTCATGTGCAGCTGAAAATGGGAAAGATTGGGATCTAGTTTTCACCAGGCCTCAAATCAGGGACAGAGCCACTGGGGAAAACAATACACTCAGCTCATATAGATTTAATTTATATTTAACTTAGCGGCCTGAGTTCCCAAACTGAAAAGCTATATAATGTCAGCATTGCTTCTTCAGGAGAATGAATTGGTGGATGAGGCAATAGGCTTCAAGCTATCTGGGCTTTCTAATGTCTTGAGGGGGAAAACAGAATTCCCAAGAATTGCCTTTGGCTTGTACCACCCACTTAATCCACCCTTCTCAGCTGTTACTTATTCTCATTTTATACTGGAGGAGACAACTCTCCCACACTGCATTGCAGCATTTGAATCCAGTGCTTGTGTACTCAGAGGTTGCTTTTGTCGTTATGAAGCACGTTAGCTTTTGATGGGGTACCAAACAAAATGCAAGATTATGCCTTTCGCAATTTATATTCATGAATGGGAAAGGAGCAAAGAAACAGGGAGCTAAACATATTGCAAACTATTTAGTTATATAAATGCTTATGCCATCTAATGAACCTATATCTAAAAGACAACATGCAGTCAGCTCATCGATTTATGGCTCTTCAAAGATTTTTCTCCATTCCCCTGTAAGTAATGCTCAGCAGAGGGACTACACTGGATGAGCAATCAGCAGTGGTCAAAATGTTTGCTGTGAGGAGTACTACTGTGTGGTTATGTAATATAACACAATTAAGAGTGCTGCATTAGGATCAGAGAAACTGAAAGAAGGGTAGAGTGGAAAACTGATGAATATAATAATAAAGTATGTATAGTACAGTGAGTTCCCTTTCTGCTGTCACTAACTTGAAGGGACCCTGCTCCAGATGCTTGTTTTATTAGAGATTTCTTATTTAAAGGAGCAGAGGAGAGAACTTTCCTGTCCAACTGAAAAATACCTTCCCCAAAGGGGCCCACTCATGTCTGTGTTATATAGTCTTCTGCAAAAAATGTTTTTATGTACCCAGAAGTTTGAGTTTTAAAGGATTTTTATCTGTGCTTTTATATTCTGGATAGATTTAGAACATAACTGGTTATATGCTGCTAGCAATCTTATTATGGTGGTACATACACCATAACAAGCTTTTTCTCTCACTCCCCATAGATGCAAATGAGACTCCAAGGGTTACACAACATAATGCTTCCACCTTAGATTTTCACTGATGTTTTTGTAGCATCTAACAAAACAGGGGAACAGAGGTTCTGCTATGCTTCATGGAATACATGACAATACTTGCATATAGCTGTTTTTAAATAGGGATATTTTGCCAAACACTTGTAACTGCACCTGTTCATACAGGGAAATAATTGTGAAAAATGAGCTTCTGGTGGCTACCTCTGTTGCAATAGCAATTTGTTTAAATGAAAATTGAATGGAAGGCAAAAGGCAGAGATGGGGTATGGCTCATCACAGTGCTTTGCATATGGAAAATCTCCAGATTCATCCCTCAACGTCTCTAAGGATAGTCTGGGTGGGAAAATTCTACTGAGAGTACTGCTAATTAGAGTAGGAAGTACTGAGCAAAATGAACTGATGGTCTGACTCAACATAAGACAATTCTCAGAGACAGAAGCAGAGGTGAAAGAAATTATGAGAGAAATCATATATACCAAGCTCTACTTTTTTAAAAAAAAATTCATCATTTTATTTAAGGTTTCTCAGATTTGGCTCTGAGAAAGAGGTTTTTGTGACTCATAAAAATAAAATAAGTAATATATATTTGTATATTTTTTATAATTTTATTCTGGATTTGATAGTTACTTTGCTCCAGTGTTATAAAACATGATTCTTCTGAGTTTTCATCATGCATTACAAAAGTTATACATTTCTATATCTATGCATTACTGGGAAATGGGGCATTTCTTGAGCACCGAATTCTGTTGTCCTTAACAAAGATCTGTGTTTCCATTGAGCAGTTAATGGCATTCATGCAGCTCTGGTTATAGAAGGACATTTCTGTTTTATGTACCCATGCCCTATCCTGCCTTTATTCCAGGCCATCGTTTTGAAGATAATCCAGGAGTAAGGAGACATCTGGTTAAGAAACCATCCCGGAGCCAAACTAACAGATCCAGCAAAACATCTTTGTCCTCGCAGTCTTTCAAGAAAAAGAAGAAAAAGAAGAAGCTTGACCGAAAACCCCATGAGGTACCATAATGGCCTTGCCCTCTTGAATCCCGCAGTGTATGGCAACACCAGCACCTTTATGCATTGCTGAGTTTATTGCTTGGTGGTAAATTGCTTTCCATAAGGGCAGGAACAACAAAGATGATAAGATTGGTCTGTAGGAATTAGCCTAAACCTAGTTACCAAGATTATTGCTTTAGGGTATAGACAGGCAGTCCCAGTCTAATTTTGCTATCTGGTTCTCCATAAATAAAACGAGACAATGTGTTCAGGGAGGAAAAATGGTCTGGAAGGGAAAATTATAGTTATAAGTTGGAAGTGTACAGCCTGAAGTCCTAGGGCCAAGTGTGGCTCCTGAAAGCATCCCTCAGAGTGATCTGAAAATTTCAATATTTCATGTGAAAGAAGGGAGAATTATTAAATGCATAACTAGAGAATTATCATATAATATGACCTTTGTTTAATTTTAATTAGCTATAGATATAAATGACATAAAATCAAATTTCGTTTTTGTCCTAGCCTCATCCACTAACTTTTGGAATGTAGTCCTCCAGCACACTATTGGAAGAGATTATACACTCCTGTTATAGACTATTTAGGATGTGAATCTAGGCTACCTTCTCTTACATTATGCATGTCTTTGGCACATCTTACTTACTTATTTATTTAATACATTATATGACTACCCATCTCATACATGACTCTGGGTGGCTAACAATTGAAACAAAAGAAAAACAAAGTAAAAACACAACCAATAATTGAAAACACAAATAACATAAAATAACAATCAAGAACAATCACAACATCCCGCAGTCAATATAACCAAGAAATGGGCTCACCCACATTATCAGGGCCCCAGGCTTGACAACAGAGCCAGGTTTTTAATGCCTTGGGAAAGGCCAGCAGGGTGAGGGGAAGTCTGATCTTGAGGGGGATGATGTTCCAAAGGGCAAGTGCCATGGCAGAAAAGATCCTCTTCCTGGCTTCCGTGGATGGGACCCAGAGCATGCCTCTCCTGCGAGATTTAACAGGATAGGTAGACTCCACTAGGGAGAGACACTCCTGTAAGTAACCCAGCCCCAAGCCATGAAGGGCTTTAAAGGTAACCACCAGCAACTTGAATTGCACCCAGAAGCACACTGGTAGCCCATTGTCAGGCCCAGCCCAAAAATAACGATGAAATAGTCCAGTCAAGTACAGTTCCTTTATTTGCTTACACCTTATAGACAGAATCTTGCCAAACTAAATCTATACTACAACAACTAGCGGATATACCCTGGGAGATTCTAGAGTGTGGCTATCCTAAATCTCTTACTCTTCTCACGCTCCCCCTGCAGACTCTGTTGTCTTTTGCCTCCTTTCCCTTCCTGGAATGCACCCCCTCCTTCCTGATAGCCTTGATCTCCCACATCACTCTCCTCTTTGTAGTTACATCCCATCACACCCATGCAGCTCGCAAAGCAGAAGTGTCGCATGTGTTGAAGAACCAGCACCCATAAATGCCCACATCGCCACATTTTGCATGGCAGTAATCCAGTTGGGAGGTGACTAAGACATGAGTGACTGAATCTGCATGAAGAGATAGGCAATGGCCCGCATTTCATCTTGAATTATACTTCTGATGCTGTTAAGTATCTGTCATCTACAGAATATCTGGTGCTGTCAGGGCAGAGCTAAAGAGCACTATTTCTTCCCTGCAGCATCCGTATAACAGGGCAGTTAGGAATGCCATTCTTATAAAGAAAACTAATAGCAAAAAATGGGCAGGGTACTGGAATGTAGCTGTCTTGCTTTTCTTAGGTGTTTGTGGAGCTGAATGAATTAATAGTGGACAAGAACCAGGACATGCACTGGAAGGAGACAGCACGCTGGATCAAATTTGAGGAGGATGTGGAAGAGGATACAGCACGCTGGGGGAAGCCTCATGTTGCCTCACTCTCTTTTCGCAGTCTTTTGGAGCTCAGGAAGACTATTGCCCATGGTGAGTAACCCTGATGAGGTTAGACTTTGGCTTGAAACTTATATTGACATCAAGCTGCTTCTTGACTCAAAGAAACTTTTTAAAGGCCTAAAAGGAAGAACTTTTAGGATTGAAATAAACTTGTTTATAAAAAGGAGAAAATGATCAATGGTTGTAGTCACTGTCAGCCTAGTCCTGTGGCAGAATGTAACATAAGCTGTAATAATGGAAGAAGAAAAGGACACCAAATCATTAAATGTAGATTCAGCTTTGTTTTTCCTTATCTTTTTTATAAGACTCTTGAACCCAAGTAAAGATTCAGAATTTTATAAGATATTACGTAATATGTGAAGGCCAGTGTGGTACAAAACCTATGCAATGACAACAGATTCATTCATATGAATAAACAATGCTTCTCAAAGCCTTTACTTGCCTATTTTGCAGGTATTTCTGATGCTGCTAACATAGTATGAGTTCAGTATGTATGTATGTATGTATGTATGTATGTATGTATGTATGTATGTATGTATTTATTTAGCCTAGAGAAAGAAATAGAAGTAAGAGTAGAAGGAGACAATCTGCTTGAGAAATTTTGTGACTATGAAATAATTCCTGTGCCTTTCCACTATTGGTTTTTCTGATCTCAGGAGCTGTTTTGTTGGACCTGGAACAAACAACATTACCAGGCATTGCTCATCTGGTGGTAGAAACTATGATAATCTCAGATCAGATCAAGGCTGAAGACAGAGCCAATGTCCTGAGGGCCCTACTGCTCAAGCATAGGTAGGTGGTGCGGTATGGAATGGTGAAATTAGAAATATAGTTAATTGGGGCTGTGGATAAAGATATAATAGAAAAGGAAGAACTACTGAAGTATAAGTAACTATGACATAGTACAGAAATTTGCATCCTAAAGATTAAGCAAGGTCCAAGGGATGATAAGAGGCAATTGAGGAGAACAAGAGAACTTTTTGGTGAATTTTTAAAGAAGTTATTGAATAGAGGGTGCATAGAAGTGCTGGCTGGCCTGAAACAGGAAAAATATAACATATATGAAGTTCCAGAAAACCTACATACATGCAGGAAAATCAGGGCTCTGTAATATGTAGAGGGGCTGGAAGGTAGATGAGCAGAGATTTGCTGTTGTGGACACACCAAGAGTGAACAATGCTCTCTCTCCACTTCAGTCAGGTTTTAGGACAGCTATCTGAAGAACTTTCAAGAGCAACTGTTTTCTTTAACTAGAGAAATCAGGCCAAGGTTCTTTAGCTTCTTTAATATCCACATTGTTTCCTCAGCCACCCCAATGATGAGAAGGAGGCATTCTTCCCCCGGAACCATTCCAACTCCAGCATGAATTCTATAGTGGGAAACCATCATCTCAATCACAATCACACAGTTGACACTTGCATGCCATTGATGGGAGAAGAGCGGATTGAGATGACAGAACCGCGAATCCATGACCCTGAGTACAGAGAGGTGAGTAACAACAGGGATATGTCAGCTCTTCAAGGTAGACCAGACTAGGAAACCCAAGTCATGCAGGCTAATACTACTTCAATTACAAGTAGTAAGTTTATTATAGAATCTTGCAACTCTGAATGCGCTTCCCCCCTTCCTCCCTTTATCTTTATGAGAACTAGGGAGCATCCTGTCTGAGACATTTTCTCAGGTTACAGTTCTGACCCGCACTCAGATTTCTTTTATCTGACCGTTGTCTTGGTAGTGGCTCTTCCTCCTGTTCCTCAAGGTTATTCCTTCTGCCCATTACAGGATCAGATTGAATTGATTGTAAAACTAATTTACAGTGGAGTGTAAGTTCAAGAAAAGTAAGTATATGAATTATGAATTGGTATGTGTGCACTGAAAGCAAACAAACAAAAAGATTTTTAAAAAGCTTGTATCAAATAAAAGCTGGATTTTACCACTAGTGCAAAATTGCACATATTTCAGGGTCTTCCATAATTTACTCCATAAATTTAAGTTGGAGAAGTGACTTGATCAAGAGTATGAATATATGAAGAAAGTGCTATTAGAGTAATTAGTATAATATAGTGGCCTTGAGAATGAATTGAATGGATGAATTAATTAATGAATTTATTAACAAATGAATGAATGTGTAAGGGGGATACAGTCTTTAGACTTACCTTAAATAAACATGTAGAAAAGCAAGGGATTAAAGTCTGTACCTTGTAGGACCTTATTAACTAGAGTGTAGCTTATATATTATACAAAGTCAAGGGCTATTCTAGCATCATGGCATATGAAAGTCATCACAAAGAGACAGCTCAGGCTAATTAAAATATTTCTTGTTGAGACAGAAAAACATGCACCTTCACAGCTCTGAGGGACATCGTGGCAAATACCTCAAGTTGATGGAGAAGATTCCTGATGATGCTGAGGCCACCGTGGTGCTTGTTGGTAAGTCAAAATCCAGTACAAAGACCTTAAGAAGGGCTCATGGAATCAGGGTAGTTGAGGTATTTCCAACTGTGTTTATACTGTCAAATTTTAGTTTTATTCTATTCTGGGAGGTGTATAACTTGTTCAGAGTCAGGCATGATTGGAGCAGCATATAAGTATAGTAAAATCAATAAAATAAATGAAATGAAATAAACACTCCACTCTCATACATTACCAGTACAGAGACCAGTAAGTAGCACACACTGCCCATATCAAAGTAATTAGATAAAAGGAGGGAAACAGAGCACATAAGGGAAACCACAAATCATTCACTGACAGTAGTAGTATTACCACTGGTAGTACTTTCATAAGGTATGGAAAACAGGAATTTGAGCCCCACCAGGAAGCTAAGCATGGTCCCACTAATTTCCATGCCTGCCCAAAAGCATCATGTTAGAGCCAGAATACAGGTACTGTCAATCATTGTGTGTGCGCGTGCACATTTGCAGAATTGCTAGGGCCCAACTTATGTTCCACTGAAGTAGTAAGACTTCAGCCAGGAACCTATTAACTATGAGCTTGTTCTGAAACCTTAGCTCCTCAGCCAGAAATTCTTAACTGAGAAAAGCCAGTCTTCCAAAAAAATTAACATATGTGCTGTTTCTTCTTGGCTGCATTTATGTATGTAGGAAAAAAAAGTGCAATTTCTGAATTGGCTTTGCTGCATTGGTTTTTCGATCAGAATAATTGCACACTGATAAAGTTTATTATTTTTAAATTCAGTCTTCGTATCTCTCTCAAAAATGTAGGACACACTAACTGCCAACTCTGAACGCCCAGATAACTTGAGTTGCCTATATTAGTTGCAGCCATGTATTAACAGCAGTTGAAGTAATAAGGCATCACTAGATGTCACTTGAAGCTGACTGTGCTATGTGCTTTCTGCCTGGACTCCCCAGTTTGGATACTTGTCAATTAATACTTCTAGTTACAAAAATAATAATGCTTCTTGTTACAAAAGGCTTATATGATCCAGTACATCTGGTTTTATTCTTCCCTTCTTCATAGGTTGTGTTGAATTCCTCGAACAACCATCAATGGCTTTTGTCCGTTTAAATGAAGCTGTGTTCCTGGAATCAGTCCTGGAAGTTCCAATTCCTGTTCGCTTCATCTTTGTCTTGCTAGGGCCAAGTCAGTCCAATGTGGATTACCATGAGATTGGACGTTCAATCTCTACTCTTATGTCAGACAAGGTAAAGACTTGGCTATTGGTTCAGGCTGAAGCTCAAGCATAAATGGAGATCTTAGCAGCATGAAGGGGTGTGTGGAGTGGTATAAACGACACCTCAAGGGCAAGAGTGCAGTGTATGGAGGAAAATAAATGTCCTACATGTTAGATTTCTGAGGGAAAAAAATGATACATTCTACATGAACACCTCCACGTTAAACTTACGTCCTTTGAAGTTAATTTTTGATGGCAATTTTGATGGCGTTAATTTTTGACAGGATTGATTTTCAAAAAAAGCTGGCTTAGAGCTGCAGCTATGTTTTAGTTTCTATTTTCTTATTCAGTTATATGTTTTGTGTGAAAAGTGTCCTTCCAAATAATCACAAGGGTCTAGCAGGAGAAATTGAGAGGTAAACCACTGTGATAAGAAGTATATTTCCCCCCATTTCCTATCAGGCCAGCTCTGTCGGGCAATTGATCCAGGGTTTCTTTTTTTGTTTTTTTTTATTGGCACATGCTGTATGTGTCTATTTGCTTTCAGCAATGTTTTTATGTGGATGAATCTTCTGGTAATAATTTCTCCAGACTTCTGCTGTACATTAAGTGTAGTACTGAAGAGGGAGAAAGATGTTGGTGGATATGCACTTTTAGATGCCCAAGACTACTTAATAAATACTACATAGCAGTTTCATTCCCTCCATTGTTTGAGAGCGAAAAACAAGCACTTCTGTGTACTTTTTAAATCCCAAGATCACTATTTCAATTCTCTCCTCCCAATACTAAAATTTCTGAAACTTCTTTTCTACCTGCTTAAAGTTTTGCTTATTAATTCTGAAATAGCCTGTTTTATTTGATGTAAGGGTACACCAAACTGACCAGAGCAATTTTATTTTATTTTTCTAAGTGTTTAATCTTATAACAAATCTCATTGTACTTATGATAGAGCAGATGTTCTATCTGTTTTAAAGCAAAGAAGAAAAAAATCCACTTGTTCACTGCCTCCCTCCCCCCGTCCCATGATTGAAAACAGAGCATTTTTAAAACTTAAGATATACTGGAAAAATGAAATTACCATATAACAAGTTATCATACTTAACAGTTGAATATGAATCTTATTAAGTTACACTGTGTGAAAAGACTGTGTGTTTAATCAGAGATGGGAAACCAATATTACCCTAGAAATTGCTGAACTGTAATTCCCAGTATCCGTTATTGACAAGTTGACTGGGGCTGCTGCAGACTGGAGTTCAGCGACAACTGGAAGATCACATTTTTCACCTCAGCACCAGATGATGCTTTATTGTCAATACATTTAATTGTCTATGTACTGGAATCAAGATTACCTTTAATTGCCTGTGTACTGAAGTTAACTTTAAAGACTCTAGAAGAAAGTTAGTAACAATTTTTTTCAATAAAATTTTAAAGAAATGCATGTGTGTGCATGCATGCATATCCACACAAACACACACTTTCCCCAAACGGCAAAATGGGAACGAAATGGTAATAAAAGGCAAATATCAGATAAGTAGGGGCAGCTGGAACATATATAGTTGGCATCTCATTGAATCAGAACTATGTTATCAGTCTGAATTTAAAGAACTAAGAGGAACCTGTGGTGATCCTGGATCAGTACTGATCTCTGAAAATGAACTGAGGGGCCTATCTTGAGTTGGGGACTACACCACCAACCAATAATATTGGGGTGGGCAGAGACAGGTGAAAAGATACTGTCAGTGTGTCTCACTATGTTTCCCCATTGGTTTTTAGCATTTCCATGAAGCTGCTTACATGGCAGATGACCGCCAAGATCTGCTTAATGCCATCAATGAGTTCCTAGACTGTAGCATTGTCATTCCTCCATCAGAAGTAGAAGGGAAAGATTTGCTCAAATCAATTGCCACCTTCCAGAAAGTGCTGCTGAGGAAGAGAAGAGAGCGGGATCAGAAGAAGTCCATCAAAGAAACAAACTTTCAGGAATCCAAAGGTCTCTTCTCTCCTTGCCTATTGTATCTAATTCTTCTGATTCATACTGTAGCTAGGGTAGGATGGGTGAGATATGACATACTCTTGACATATTGGTGATGCTATTAAAAATTGACGCAGTAACAAAGTAGATGTTGAAGGCAGACTTTATAGCAATTGGTAGAAAGCAAATAAGGGAAACCTCAGTCTGAGCACCTGACTGACTACAAACAATAGGATGTTAGTGTGCAAAGATGTTTTGTCTCAAGCTTCTCTGACCACATCCCTGCTATTCTACTTATGCCTTTCCAGAGCTATGTGAGGTGAAAGCTGAAGAAGAAGAAGAGGGCGAGGAGGAGGAGGATGACCCTCTGAAGCGCACCGGCATTTTCTTTGGTGGTTTGGTGCGGGACATAAAGCGCAGGTACCCCAAGTATCTGAGTGACCTCAGAGATGCCCTGCACAGCCAGTGCCTCGCAGCCGTGCTATTCATCTACTTCGCTGCTCTCTCTCCTGCCATCACCTTTGGGGGACTGCTAGGTAACAAGTCCGCCCTCCTTTTTCCTCACCTCCCACTTCCCCACGCATTTTCTGCTCAAGCTAGTTCCCGTCTTTCTGTGCTGCCCAAGACGCTGAGCAGGAGGTTGACATTTTGCTTCTGTTAGCTGAGTGACTGGGACTGCTTCATGTGCCTGTCTGTGCTGGCCTAGCGGATAGGCTCCATGTGGCTCTTGCTGCATTCAGACAAGTTTGATCTGTTTCACCCCTACTTGGCTCTAGGGCTTTCTAGTCTACTGCATGTCTCATTTTCTATGGCAACCACAAAAGCTCTATCACTCCCTATGTTGCTAAAGTGGGATTTCTGTTAGCAAACAACCCAGGGGTCTAAACTGGGAAAGGATAAGGGCAGGAAAGGAGAGAAGTTAATTTCTATCTCTTCTTGTAGACAGATGAAGGAAAATCAGAATAGACTCCTACCTTATTAATCATACATTATCACAGTGCTAGAGGCCAATGAATGCACGTACATTACCCAACAGCAGTGAGAAGTATACAGGCGTTATCCCTTAATCAGCTATCAGTAGGAGAACACATTTTTCTGACGGGGGATGTCCTCTTCGCCACTGAACAGTTTTGGAGGGGAGGAACCTTGAATCTGGTTCTTCTACTTTCCTATTCTGTGAATGGTCACAGTTGCCAATATGTTTATTACTTGCTTAGTATCAGACATGTAATGTAACAACAAATTAAGCAGTTCTGATTCTGAAAGGGAGATTTCTTGGATTCCTTTATGGAGATATAATTATATATAAAATCATTAATAAATCTAACAAAAGAAATAAAAACATCTTAAAATAAGCTGCTACATTATATTTTAAAAAGCTGCCATACTTGGGAGAGGTATTATTTTTTTCTCTTTTTTTCCTAAGATAGTTCAAATTGTTTTCCTTTTATTCTATTATATTAGGAGCAACCAGTTTAAACAGGAGTGTGGTTTTTTTCCTACAACCAGGGATTGACTTTATTTATACACACACACACACACATCAAATTGTTTTTTGGTGGCTACTGCTGCAAGAAATTAGAGTAATGTCATGATGTTATATAAAGATGATGAATAAATAAATAAATATTACACACAGTGGTGTGACATCACTGTCACACCTCACACAATAGGAGGGATTACTTCAGATTTTTTTTTTCTTTTTCTAGATGTTTTATGTATGGTGAGGCTATCCAAAACTTAACTCATCTCATTAGTGCACTGGACGTTGCACTTGGAGGTGCCTGGAAAATTGTACTGATAATTAGATGCCATTGGAGGAAAGACCCTTTCTTTAGTGCATACTGTGTCTAATGCTTTTTCTGAAGAAGACATTTAAGAAGGTTGAAGGCCTTAAGACATGGGCAAGCTGGTATAAGTATTTGGATCACAACTTTAAGTCAGGGATGAGCCTCGCATGGCAGGAGGGCCAGGAGTGGCCCTCAGCCTGATTTCAGAAAGCACAGGATTTCTGCAATCAAGCTATTCAGACCTCTGGCAAGAGCATCCCTGTCTTGACTGCTGCATTGGAGGATGGGGAGGAGGTAAAAAAGGGGCAGCAGAATAGAAATCAGAGTCATGTGTGGCCCTTTTCAGTTTTGGCTTTAACCCTCTTTCCCTGCTTGCTTAAGTCCCTCCATTGACATGCACCTCCCTACAGATTATTCCCAAAGGAATGGGGCTGTTGAAAGAAAAGAGGTTGTCCACCTCTGATTAAAGAATTTAAAGGTAGGTACCACTGCATTGAATTCAGCTTGGAAGCAGATAGACAATCAATGTAGTTTGTTCACCGTATGATTTTATCTTGCTGAATCAGCTCAAAATCTAGCAGCCAAGTTCTGCTCTAATTTATATTTTTTTTCAGGAGGGTTTCTCTAATTCACACATATGGATTTTCCCCTATACTTTGGAATATTCCAGAGCTAAGGATTTTGGTGGGAGAATGATGTAAGTCCTGCCTTAAAGACTGCCACAGGGTGCCAAAAAATTAGCTCTGAAGCATTCCTGACTGCTTATTGCACAGGCATAGAACATGACTGCTTATTGCACAGGCATGTGTGAATTCACAGATGACCACTGTAGAATCATAGTTACTGGTAAGTAATCAATTCTTTTGAGTCCTCTTCAGGTTATTTGGCCCTGAGAACTATGCATAGAGGTTAGCTTCATACATTGCACTAAGCCATGATGTGGTTTATTTGGTTAGACTCAGTATTTTATATGATTATTTTATATGATTCTAGCCATTCTGGCTTATTAGCCATGAATTATAACTTAGCACAATATATAGACCCAGGCAATAATGGATCATTCAACAAGCTGTGGTTAAATAAATCAGGCTTAGTGTGATGTAGGAACCCAGCCAGAGGTGTGTATGTGTGTGTTTTGTCAGAATGTAATTGTGGACCTCATGCAATCTATTCCAGAATCCAGGTGTGGTAGTAGAATAAATATGCATGGATGGACTCACTGACAGTGGCAACTGAGAGAAAAAGATAGGATTTTTTTTATTTAGGACCCAGATATGAAAAGGAACTGTATGCATATTTATATGTGCAACACTGTGGTGTGTCCTAAAGACATTGCTTTCTTTTTACAGGTGAGAAGACAGATGGTCTCATGGGTGTTTCGGAATTGATTATCTCCACATCAGTGCTGGGCATGCTCTTTTCACTTCTGAGTGCGCAGCCACTCCTTATCATTGGTTTCTCAGGGCCCCTGCTGGTCTTTGAAGAAGCTTTTTACAAGGTACCTGAAAATAATTTCTCGCTTGGTTTACTTCAACAGTCCTTGATATCACATTTTGCTTCTGATGTGTCTCTATAGCACTTCAGTGTACATATTTGTCATCACCCTGTAAATCTCAACTATAGTCTAATTCACACATTATCTGGATATTATAGTTGCTGTCAAAATACTGAACAGATAAGACCATGTGAGAAATGGTTTGTATGAAGTGTTTCTCACCTGTACTGAAACAATTTTTACTTTCTCATTGAAGCTAGCTACAAATGAGGGAGTTTTGCTTCCAAACATATAGCAGTCATTCTACACAAAGACCTTTCTGCTATTTTCTGCTAACATGTTTTTATGAAACTATCATACTGCTCAAGTAACATCTAGATTTGGCCTCTTTAAAGTTAGTGATGGTTCATATTGTAAAAAAAATGTCTGATAATCACTACCAATGGATCCCATAGTTGTCTGTAGGTCTAATTGTGTATTATTCATATTTCAGCAAATTGGGCATAGCAAATTATGCATTGATCTCAAAGCCATAATGTAAGATAAATGTGTTGCCTTAGCTAAGATGGCAGTGTGTTGCTTTATAATAGTGAACAACAATAGTTGACCAACATGGATGCTTTTTCTGCTGCTTTGGATACTTTCTCTCTTTGCATGCAAGGAACTTTGCACACAGAGGGTCCCTCTGTGACTTCAGTGAGCTTGGCAGTTATGTGGCTAGGATTCTATATATTATATAGGGAGGAAGGTTGGGTAGGTAATGAGCAATTCTATCTCTAAGCAACCTGGTAAGGCTTAGATAGAATAAGGCAGTGGATTTTGGGAAGTACTTGACCAAAAATGGGCTAAGTGGAACCCATTGTTGGTTCTTTGAAACTTGCTCCACATACAAACTGAGGTTCATACTATCTCTACTGCAATTTTATGCAGTGTTCCGGTAAACCTCAGTGATTGTTGTCATTGCAAGAAACTATGCAATGTGAGAAGGCAGATTTAGGTGATGTCTCTAAGCTCCCAATTTCTTTTTTGCCAGTTTTGCCAGAGCCAGGACATCGAATATTTGACAGGTCGGGTGTGGATTGGCTTCTGGCTCATTGTCTTTATTGTCATCATTGTAGCTGCTGAAGGCAGCTTCTTAGTGCGCTACATTACGCCCTTCACCCAGGAGATCTTTGCCTTCCTCATCTCCCTCATCTTCATCTATGAAACATTCTACAAGCTGTACAAGGTAAGCCTTCTCCAAGGAGTTTGGGGCTAGCTGCTCATACCAGCTCTTGGATTCAATTTAAAATAAATGGTAGGCATGTGGCTCTGTCTCTTTACTAATTTTTGATCTATTTTTTACCAGCTCCTCTCATGTTGGTTCTGCATAAAAAGTTTTAACAGCTATAGTTTCTCTGGCTGAAAGGAGTGATACAGTAGTAAATGCCTTTCTTTCTTATACTGCATTCCCAGATATTTGCAGAACATCCTTTGCTGCGATTCTATCCACCGTATCTTCAAAGAAATCTGAATTCTAGCGTATTACCTACTGATTCTATGGCTCTGGATATCCGAATGCAGCCCAACACGGCCCTTCTGTCCCTCATCCTCATGTTGGGGACCTTTTTCATTGCCTTCTTTATGCGCAAGTTTAAGAACAGCCGTTTTTTGGGAGGAAAGGTAAGCCTAAGATCTGGTTCCAAGGAGAAATATATAGTGGCTTTTCTCCCATGCAGCCATTTCAGTTGAGTTATCTGTCTTCTTCATTCTGATACCCAATGAAATTAAAATTCCCCAAAGTAATGTGAAGATAATCCTTCTGAGGCACTTATTGTGTAATTTCTTAATAGATAGCTTGGCCAAAATCATAGCTATGGAATCAAATGGTACTCCCTCTCCTTCCTGCAATGCTGAACTTGAACATGTCTCTATAGAAATCTGGGTATTCAAATTCCATTATATTTAAAAGTGAAAATGCTCTGGAGTTGTTTTAAACCTGGAGAGCATTCAAAATAAATCATCTTGAATCTGTCCAGGTAGCTTCTATGGGAACTGGCAATGTAGAGATAAAGAGACATACAGTATTAGAGATGTATCCATTATCCTTCAGAAGGTGTATTATTTACTACTATACCGCCTCACCAATGTATTTTTACTGAGAATCATCCTTCTATGTCATGATCAGCATTTTTTCAGAAGTTAGAAAAAATTGGGTTCAGAAGATCTCCCAGCAATGTCTCCAATTTGTCTTATGTTCATTCTTCCATATTTGTTCTGTAGGCCCGGCGAATCATTGGAGATTTTGGAATCCCTATCTCCATACTTGTCATGGTTCTGGTAGACTATAGTATTACCGATACATATACACAGGTTGGTGCTGCATGTCCCAAGTATTCTCATGGGAAATAAGAGACATTGATTTTTCTAGGCATTTGGAGTTAACCTGAGTCTGCTATTGTGTGTGCAGAAGCCTGTATTCATGCCTTTTAATCAGCATTCCATTCACAAGGCTGCCATGCAGAAAATAAAGTGTGTCCCAGTCATGCTGTGAGGTATATCGATTAACTGACCTCTGTTTCAGTGGGATCTTTTGCTGAATGTGGAGTCATCTAAGGACAAACAACTACTTGTTTGTCTGGGCTTCTAAATAGCGCCAAATGCTGTTTTGTGGTGTGAATCTAGATAGTTAGGGTATTAATAGAACAGAATATATGTAGCTCAGGGTTGAACTGTGGAGTCCTTGGTGTTCTCTGAGCTTGGTTGTT